CTGCACAGGTTGGAGCTCCTGCACCCTTAGCCCTTTGCGGAGGTGTCCTTTCTCCTGGTCCAGGACCGTTCCCTTGGGTCATGGCAGGCGGAAATGTGAAAACGTTTCAGGGTTTCTCACCCATTACACCAATATTTATCAGAAGTCTACTTTAAATGAGTCGATTACGTGTCGTGAGCCCTCTAATCCTTATCTTGAGTATTGGAGAAAAAATCAGTTGCTCTGGTTAACACGTTGACGACATTGTGCAGCGCATGCGCATCACACCTTGAGCACCGTGTGGGACCGTGATATTTATTTTTTTTCGCGCATGCGCTACTTCTTTTCTAATTTTTTGCATCTATTCTATAGACTACACCATAATATGACTAGACACGGCGAGGTTCATTGAATGGTTGAATATGCTCCTTTTTAGCGAAGGTTTTCTAAGCCCTACGAATTTCCCAATTGTGTTCATTCCTAGTTTCCTTTATATTCTGATAATCTTGGTCATAAAAAAGAGCAGTAGAAGTAAGTACAGACCCACACATATAGCAAGACATATGTTTTTAGTGGAGCAACCGCGTCAAAAATAATTTTGAGGTTCACTGCAGCAAAAGCAACTGAAACTTGCCTTTCATCGCCAGAAAACGTCAATTCGATCGATTTTTTACAGTTGTCCCTTCTGATAAGTTTGACACATCGAATATCATTCTAAACATTTTGTTGCATCCGAGTTTTGGGTATTTAAAGCTCAAAATTCACGGATTTGATGTGAGGCGGCGGCGCCTGCAAAATCGCCGTGGTCCCACGCGGCGCAAAAACCCAAAACGCGCGATGTCGTCAACGTGTTAAAATTTCGACCTCGCAAGGCACAAAAACGAATGGTGGATGTTCTCGAAACGTTCTGCCCACACCCTATCTACTTTTCTGCACCTAATCTTAAGTTCCTCCATTCTTAACAATAGGCGCGTCCATTCTCCTGGTCCAATACAAACAGCGACACTTAGAGCCTTTACTTAAAGGCACGGGTCGGGATGAAGAGATCAAACTCATGGGGGTGATGCCGCTCTCGTGACTCGAAACCGCGCGGCTATAACAACCCTGGCCTAGCATTTAGGACGACGTGAGCTATGACCGCCCACCGCCGGAAGTGGTGCGTGGCTGGCATAAGGCGTGAAATCAGCTGGGTTGATTGCCGTATCAGCTGCTTTCACGGAGCCAGCAATGGTTGGCATGCTTTAAAACTCGTTCGGACACACATTTCTCCTAAGCCAGGCTTTTCGCCGAGGGAAGAGATTTTTCATTTCCGATCAAGTCGACGGCTTTTTCCCGTTTTTCCTTCACTGACGTTCCATTTCGCATCTCTGCTCTCACTCTCAAGCGCAGAAGTACGCCAGCTCGATCTCGTTCCGTGTCCTTAAATGAGTCGATTACGTGTCATGAGCGCTCTCATCCTAACTTAAAGCGAGGGATTACGATAAGATTGGACTGGGTTCATAGTGGAAGTGGAGATGCTGAATAATGCCCCAGTGGCGAAAAAAGCAAAGAAATCCGTCAAGAACGCGCAAAATGGGACCCCTTTCTTTGCCCGTTGACCTCCGATAATGGACGAGCTAGCAACCAATTAAGAGGTCTTTTGCACATGTTAACCGATAGCCACCATCATACCAGCAAAGGCCATGCTTTGATTGGTAACGCATTCCATGAAGTTATAGGATACGCACTCGAAGTGGAATACCTCATCAAAATGATAATCGAAGGGCGCTGCTGCTGGAGCACAGGCGTGGCGGAGCTCAGAAAGGAATGGCAAGCCTTGTACGCTGCACCTTTGACCACAAAAACGCAACATTTCGTTTCCTTGGGCCCCTGACTACTGCTTCCAATGGTGCATGTACTTCCACGCTGCATACACACTTTATCGTAATCTCTCGCTTTAAGTATTAGAGAAACGATGGATTGTCCCCTCTCGCACGAACTGAACTTTTACACTACCAGGAAAGGCATTCAACTTCCCATGGAACTTTGAGATGAGACCCAGATATATCGATAGAGCTTCAAACGCTGATTACAAATATGGAAACTAAAACTGCAAAATGAACCTGCCAAGGAAGTTGTGAGCAGTCAAAGTTGGCTGGAAGTAAAGCATCACACTAGCCTCCGGGCTTTCATAGTCACCGCGGAGCAGTGGTGGTGCCCTCGCTATTCACCCTGGAGGTCATAAGCTCTCCTCCCGTCAGAGCGCAAATTCCGAGAGCACTACCACTACTCCACGGACGACTTTGAAAGCCCGGAGGCTAGTGTAATGCTTTACTTCCAGCCAACTTTGACTGCTCACAACTTCCTTGGCAGGTTCATTTTGCAGTTTTAGTTTCCATATTTGTAATCAGCGTTTGAAGCTCTATCGATATATCTGGGTCTCATCTCAAAGTTCCATGGGAAGTTGAATGCCTTTCCCTGGTAAGGAGCATAGGGTACTCACAGTAGGCAGGGTGAATATCGCTTGAGGATTCCTCAACGGCACGTCGAGGATTCTCTGCCCGATCAGACACGATCTCTCGCGCGGACATTCACACTCGCCATGGCGTGCCGTCTGTGCTCTCCGCGCGGATGTTCACTCTCGGCACTACTCTCGCATGGTAGAGAGCTATGGTCGAGGAAATCCTCGACCGTTATTCACCCTGGCTGCTGAAGTTGTTACAGATGTTATTGACCACGGTCTTAAAGTCATATTCATAAGGTCGAAGAAGTTAAATAAGTACCAGTCAACGAGTCCGATTAATCGCAAATGGTCGAGATTTTTTGAGTGTTCTTTGAAATTGTTCTTGCTCTTTTGTCAACCTTAGTATTTGCCCATAATCCACAGGTGGAAGCTTAGAAAATGTTCCACCATCCGTTTATCGTGAATGTTCGGTTGAGCGAAAATTCTCCATTTTTCTCATAAGTTTTTAACAAAACCAAACAAAAACAACAATGCGTAATCAACAAACGCTCTCGAACAGTCCTCTCTGCAACCGTGCCTTCATCCCAGGCTTCATTGATTCTACGAGCAGATGCAGAAGCATTCGGTTTCGAGCTCAACTTGCACTCATGTAGCAGGGGCAATCTTTTTTGCTACTGTGTAAGCCCGATAAAGGATAAAGCACTCGCTGTCGATCAATCCCATAATGGTATGCGGACGATTTCTACTTTCATTTGTACCTATACAATGACTTGCGGGGGCCAGCCGATGTACAAGTCAGTGTTTTATCCTCCCAGACAAGTCTGGTACCAATTAACCGACCCCGGAGGGATGGAAGGCTTGGTTGGCCCGGGCGCCAAACTTGCGCTGTTGGGTGCCATTTGGCGCTGCAAATTGTCGTGTCCGTGATCAGAGTCATATTCGTGTTCAGGGCAGGGGATAATTCTCAAATACAGGTCTTTGGCGAATTTACAAGGAGGAACATTCGTAGCGCCAAACTAGCGCCAACGTGGCGCCAGGTTGGCGCGAGCGTCACAAATTAATGCCATATTCGTAATCAGCGCATTGAATTAGGTATTAGGTGAGCTTCACAAGTAAAATACCCTCTGGTTTTCCGTGGTCCCACGTGGCAGACACTCCGAAATCCGCCCGGTCGCCAACGTGTTAAATGAACACAAACAGCGGTGAAAAAGTGTAAAGCGGAAAGTTCACCAAATACACTCACAGTGGGTTATGGATCAAAATGTAAGCTATAAAATTCTGTATGGGGTCATTTGGTGCATTAATTACGAACATGACATTCGTTTTTGGCATTAGCGTTGCTCAGCACTATATCCCGGTTGGAGGGCGCGGACGAACGGAAAACAGCGGTCAAATATGACACTTCTTCTAGCCCAGCGCCTAGAAAGAGTGTCAGAAAGAGTGTATTCGTAATCAGGGTATCTAATCACATCTATAGGCAAATTTGCTGTATTTCCTTAGCGGTACACATTTACCCAGCAAGAGTGAAGGCGTTTTTCTGTGATAACAGCGCGGTCTTATCTACCGGAAATCAGGGTACTCACTGCAGTATCTGAGCGCAACTCCAAGAAAAACAACGTTGAGATCTAATCGTAAGTAACGCGAGATAAGTCCTGGAGCAGAGCAAATAACTTTATCCAGAATGCGTCCGTCGCTGCACTCTGGACAGGGCCATAGAAATAGAAATGACTGATCAAACGTTTCAATCAGTTTACAGTACATTCTGGAGAGAAAGTAGCGTCGTAAGGAATAGGGAATAGTAGTAGGGAATAGGGACCTGCTTCTTTCATTCAATTTTCTACAAGTTCAAGGCTTAGTCGAGGCTAGACCACGCTCTCACCCCCAAGCACCAACTTTTCCATATCACAGCTACCATTGTATCCTCTATCTTATGATATTTTCAAGAGCAAGTAGCAAGCACGGTGTCTTGGTTGTTCTTTAAAGAGGAGCTAGGACTTCATCCCTGATTTATGTCCGTGGTAGCAATGCTCAACAATAATTGTTACTTGTTAAATGCTTAAAAAACTTAATAAGAAATAAATAACAACTAAAGGTAGGTAGCTCAGTGGCTCGTTTGTATGGATATTGAGCAGTGCACAAACATATAGAAGTTGAGTCATCTGGGCGAAGAATATAGATCCGATCTGGATCTTGCAACTTGGTATCTACCCTTCGCAACGCTCCATGCCAGCGTCTGGGAAATCGCTAGTAACCGCATTGCTCTGTTGTCGTCTTTTTTTGTGCGCTGCGGTCGTAGGATTTCATTTTGCACTTATACGATTGCAACTCTGAGAATTGATATAGAGCTTATCAAACCAAATTTACTGAGTCATTTTCAGCATTTTTATTTATTTACTTATTTATTTGCGTACAGTAGACGAGCTCCCGTCATCCAGCAGGAGGATAGCTGAGAGCAGAGCAGTTAATAGGTGGCTAATAACATAGCTGAAAAGGAAGCAAAGAAAAAAGTACCAAGTGATTATAGAACAAACGAGAAAGAGACAGTCTCACTAGTCAGGTTGGAAGCAAGGGACTAAAAATGCAAGCTGAGTTAAGTGAGTGAAGAGAGAATTTCACTATCAAGCCATTTCGCATACGATAGTTCAGAAATTGGTCAGTTGAGAATATCATGCAAAGAATGAGGGCAGTGTGCCCGCTATGTGAAAGTCGCTATCTGTCTGCAGTTCTACCTCTGATTCTCAGTGTTATTCTTATTTGCTTGTATTTGTAGGCATATAAGTTCAGCGATGTAGTTCCAGCACAACTGCGGGCTATGCGTATTAACTTTTATACTCAACTGAATTAGCCAGGACTTAGCTGAGTATGTAATTTAGGACGAATCCTATGAATGTATCGGCGAGCTATATCATGTTCGAGAGCCTTATTGGAGACAGGTCTGAAATGTTTCTGGAGAGCGACCGGCCTACTTCAAAAAAGTTTACCGAATTTATTCGGGTGAGTCCTTAGTACCTGTGTTCAAGGATTTAACGAGGGTGGGATAAGACTAAAAGAATAGGGTGCAGCATAGCGGTGTTACCCAGTTTCCTATTAATTGATTATTATTGGCCCCATGCACTTCATAACAAAATTAAGACTGTGGATCCCGAGTGTCAAATGTTATTTACCCTCCACAGAAGCCTGCGTGCATTCTCTAGTTCAGCGAAATGAATTGTATGGATGGCCACGGATCCAGTTTGAATGGCTCCAGACCGTGCGCGTGGTATGCTTACCAATGCGCTTTTTCTATACGATGCTATGAGGCAAATCATCCGATCTTCATCTTTCACCTTAGCTCTTCGCTGAATTGTGGAGGAGTCTTTTCAATAGAGAGTTGGCTTTTGCTCACATCATCAATCAAACCGATTTCACTGTCGTGAACGCGCAAGATTACCTGCTGACCACTTATTATTGAAGAGATGATTTTTCAGAAGGACCGGGAGGACCGACTGGAATAGGCGGTGAAAACCCATTTGGATTCGGAGGAGGAGGTGTTGGGCTCCAAATCAATCCCGGACCGTTTGGAATGGGTGGAAGTCCTGTGGTGCTGGCATTCCTCCTCCCAGAAATGTGGGCATCCAGAAGGAAACGACTGAGCCTGAGGTATGATGATTGCAATCATTGTCGATTCTTTCTAATTTTGCCTTTGGAAGCTTACCTTAGTTCTGGTTAATTAGGCTGCCGAAAGATTGTGAAAAGGTAAACTGCATTGGGGGTGATAATTGTAATCGAACATCCATTTCTCTATTGTGCAGCTGATATCTATTTTTACTTTCAGACACCACCAGAGAGGTCGCTGACTTGAAAAAGGGAATATAAATGGCATCGCGGTGCAAGCTCGACGAATCACCTGTTCTACACTGTTTTCCGATCAACTGAACATATAAATCCAATGTTCCATACAGAAGTTATACATTTTATTCTTCGTAACAGACCCATTCAATCATCCCTCTACCCACTGTCCATCAGCCCTCTGTCTGCCTGTCTGCCTGCCTACTTGGCTGCTTGCGTGTATCTGTCAGTCTGGAAATTCGCCATTACCTTGTAGGAGGATTTTACGATGAAAGGTAACTCATTGGAAGTGAGAGTAGAGGTGGTCAGTAAAGCAGCGATAACGAAGAAATGGTCCGGAGCCCGAATGATGGGACCCCTTCCTTTCCTGCTGATTTCTGCATTGATGCGACTCTCATTTTTGTGCCCTCTTTAACGTCAACGCTCTTTCTGCTTGTCAGGGCGTTTCAGGGCCATTCGCGTCCAAACGGAAGTCCTGCAGAGGCATACCCTCTGGTCGCACCCTTAAGGATCCGCCTTTCTCTCCGGAATTCCCTTCAAAGAGTTCCTCCAGTCGATTGAAACCATTCACGAAAATCTCTTGCATTCTTCCCCAACATGAATCAATCAGCTGTGATATCTAGAGACAACGTGCAAAGCTTCATCAAAAAAGATTCAGTTTTTGAAGAAACATCATACACATAAGAAGAGTCCCTTCGGAGCGGGCGTAAGGACCGACGGCAGTTGAAGAATGTTGGCGTTCATGATATGAAGGAATGCAGCAAAACGGTTGATAGAAAGGACGCAAATATGCCGTTTGCCGATACAGTGGAACAGACTAGAGACCAAAAAGCCGAGTGTGTGTCAGAAATTCATTGTTGGTACTATGAGCAATTCTTCCTTGCTACACTTCTATCAACAGAACTTGTTTTACACCCCTCCCGGCTGTCCCACCAATTTTTCGCTAATCTGCTCAAAGTGTTGGTGTCCTTCCATTTTGTAAGCACCCACCTTTCTCGTTGTTGATTAGCACTTGACCTGGTATGGGTGCGCAGCCGTAGCTCATTGTGATCCCTACAACCACTCACAGCTAGTCAATCGACCTACTCGGTGAAGAGAGATTCTTGATCTCATTCTTCGCAACAATAGCAGCACTGTGACTAATGTCTAAGTACATCCTCCTCTAGGCAGTAGTGACCACCACTCTGGGCTGCAATAACAGCCCATGCTTTTATAGAATACCGACATGAAATCTGCCTACTCCCTTGAGTGATATCGATAGGATAGGTTCCCTCCATTTCCATTAATCTGTAAACTGTAACGAAAATACGAGGTGTTTCGCCATATCGAAGAGAAGCTCTGGATCTTTTCTTTCCATGCCGTGAGTTACTTCCTGAGAAGTCAACGCAGCCCCGGTCACTGATATCACTACATCACTTCTGAAATTGAAGATGACCATTTCTAGGAATAGCGTTAAACATGAGGAATTGTATAAAATGTGAAGAAATTTGTTCATTCACTGAGCAAGTACAAAACCTCGGTAGAAAATGAAGCCTTCGAATCTAGGAACTAGAGTCATTCGTGTCATTGACTCTGACTTGAAAAGTACGATGAAGGAAATTGTAGATCCAATTTTTAAATCTCGATTCCAGGCTGATTTCTATCACTTTGGCTTTGAGTAGCGAATGGAATACCTTATCAAGCGCTCTATAAATCGAAGAACACAGCACACAGGCTTCCCACTATCAATAGACGTTATCCAGTTATTCAGAGATTCTGTGTTTCGGACTCGACCTTACCTGGAGGAGGCCGTAATCACCAGACACGACAGGATGAGTAATGAGTAGATAAGTGATATTCCATAGTTTTCTCAAAAACGTAGAGAAAAGTGGAGGTGTTGCTTATAGGACGAAAGGTATGGACAGTAGAAGGAGAGCGCTTCTAGGGTACAACAAAAGAGTGTTTGAAAAGATGGAGAAGCTTGACA